TATTTTATCAAGTTAAATCTACCTGAGTTTAGGTAATTTATATTTAAAAATCATTGATTTTAATAATTTGTACACCTCTTAAGTTTAAAAATTATTTATAAGTCTATTAATTTTTAAAAAATTAATTCAAATACAATCAATTTAATAAATAAAGAATCTGAGCTCTAGTGAACTAAATATAAAAAAATATATGAATTTATATATAAATTAGATCAAATAAGATTCAAATAAAATTATTAATATTTCATAGAACTTATGAATAATTACGAAAATTTTAATTTTTTACATGTTTGACCAAATAAAAAAATCATTATATATGATATTGGAAAGAACTTTTGCTTCACAATCTTTAATCATTGGAAAGAACTTTTGCTTCACAATCTTTAATCAAGTGATTTTACTTAATAAAATGAGGGATGACTTTTGAAAACTAATTTTAGGTAGGTAAGAATAAACGATCACTTCAATTTGAAACAATGCCGAATTAAATTAAAATTAAAGTGAATTTTCAAAATGAAAACAGCCTCAAATTAAATATAATTCAAAATCTAATTAGTTCAATCGGTTTTACATGTACTTTTACATTGGTCAATTGAAGCCTTTCACAAAAAAATAAAAACCAAATAAAAAAATTCATTTTATCATGCAAACAAAAACCAACATGAATCAGTTTTACCTGATGTTTTAATATTCTTAAAATTAAAAAATATCCCTAAAATAAAAAAGAAATATAAGTTCTCTTTTTTTGGAAAAATCTTAGACCATTAATTAATATAATATTTAATCAATTAATCTAATAATAATATTTTTGAATATATTGAATAATTCCAACTAAGTGCAAAATTGACAAAGTATATTGTATAATTCCTTTATATTTACTATTTATCATTCTCTTTCTCTCTCTAGTCTTAATTATCTGATATGAGATAAATAGTTTAAACGTGTGAATATATATTTCACATAAATATATTTAAAAGAAGATTAAAAGAAATATTAAATTTCACATAAATTATTAGATCAATTAAATATTTCCAATTATTTCTAAGAGTATTATAAAAGAAAATATCATATATTCTTTTCTATAATAAAAAAAAGAAAAATATTAGATAACTATTTTTTATCTTAGATAATCATCTATAAAAAAAAGTGAAGAAAAAAATTTAATTAAATATTCCTGTATACACCACTGTATCATGAAATTATATTATTTTTTTCATAGAAAGAACTTTTAAAAAAAATTAAATACCAAAATATTTATTTGTAATATAATTTCAAACTTTTATATTTAAAAATTTATTGTATTCAAAAATTTATTTTTTTAAAAAAATATCCGATCAAATCATACAAACATAAAAACTAATATTAATAAAATAATATTTTTTTTCTATTTTTAATTCCCTTCTAAATAAAATATTTTAAATTATAATTCCCTTCTAAATAAAATATTTTAAATTATAATCAAAATAAATTAAAATAAATAATAAATTTTTAAAAATAAAATATTAAAAATTTTCATTATGCTTCATTTATCATATATATTATTAAAAATAATTTAAAAAAAGATAAAACTTAAAATTTTGAATGCTTAATTATCTTTTTATTTAAAAATAATTTTTATAAATTATATCCGATCAAGTAATAAATTTTATATATATATATATATATATATATATATAATATATATATTTCACATTAAATAATTCAAGAGAAGGATTAAAAGGAAATATCAAATTTTCATTTATAAAATTTCACATAAACTATAATATCAATTAAATAATTTTACTAATCTTATTATTGGTATAATTTTTTTTCACTTTTATATTTTGATTTATTTCTTAAGGAGTATTAATAAAAGAATATCATATATTATTTCTATAATATTAAAAGAAATATCAAATTTCATATAAATTTCACATAAACTATTATATCAATTAAATATTTACTAATCTTATTATTGTATAATTTTTTTTTCACTTTTATTAATTTGATTATTTCTAAGAGTATTATAAAAGAATATCATATATTATTTTCTATAATAAAAAAAAGAAAACTACCAGGTAACTATTTTTATTTTAGATAATCGTCTATAAAAAGAAAGTGATAAAAAAATGAATTAAATATTTTCATGTACACCACTTTATTATAAAATTATATTATTTTTTCCATAGAAAGAAGTAAAAAAACTAAATATCAGAATATTTATATGCAATAAAATTTCAAAAATTTATATTTAAAATTTTACTCTATTTGAAAATTTATTTTTAAGAAATATATCAAATCAAATCATACAAACATAAAGAAAAAAGAGTATTAATTAAAAATACATCTTTTTTTCAGTTTTTATGTCCCTCCTAAATAAAATACTTTAAATTATAATCAAAATGAAATCAAATAAACAAGAAATTCAAAAAATAAGATATAAAAATTTTCAAATGTCTCATTAACAAATAAATTATATCCAATCAACTAATAAATTATAATTTTTTTATTGGAAATAATTAATGGCATTTTTGAATATTTTAAATTTTATTAATGGTGATATAGGTAATCTCATTATTCCCTCTCGTTACCACTTTTATATATAGTACAGATAAAGATAAAAATAGATAGATTTTTTTGAATGGAGATAAAAATAGATAGTCAAAATTTAGATTTTTTTGACAATATATTAAAAAAAATTTCAAATTGACCAAAATATTAAATTACAAATTAGCAACTGCTTCTATTATTTCTCATTGTATTAATAAAAATTTTTAATATAATAATGAATAGAAAGATTCAAACTAAGTGACCTCCAATCATTTGCTAAGCTATATCCAATCTTGATTACTTTCACTCTACAAAGACTAATATTTTTTTATACTTATAATTATGATTATTTTTAAATCAGTTGAATATAATTTTAAGTGCATTTTCTCATATCAGTCTAATATATTATTAGTTTTATTATTTATACAATGCTTCAAAATACAATTGAAAAACTTTTCATTCTTAATAACTAAAACAAAATAGGCCAATATATAAATTTACTCGTATACTTTACATAATAAATTTTATGGTATCCTCAAATTTTATTTTGGCCTATTGAATATTTTAATTTATAAAATTATACCTATTAAATTCTTCAACTTATAAAAATAATTAAAAACTCGAACTTATAAATTAGATCGATTAAATACTTATTAGGTAGTTTTTTTTTTTTTTTGATAATAAATACTTATTAGGTAGTTGAAACTTGTGGTTTCAAAGATTATACTAACCGTATATTAATTGAATAATTTGCAAATAAACATTAAAAACACACAAAGAAAAATGTTATTATTAATAAGAAGGGAGACGATTTATCAAAATCCATAACTTTAGATATATAATAGGTGCATCGGAAAATTTAGAGTGTCATAAATTTTTTTTTATGTATAGTGGTAAATTTAATATTTTTAACACAAATTTAGAGTCACTAATGTGAGATTATATACGACAATTTTCCCCGACCCGACGGGTATATGATCCGATCCGATTCTGGTGGTTTCGAGTAGTGAATAAATGAATTTAGGATGGGTTCAGATATTATTTTTACTATATATTTCGAGTTCATGTTCAAGAACTTGGATACCCGCCATATATTATCTGTTTAATTAATATTCTAAAAATATTTAAAATAATTATTTTTCTTAAAATAAATATATTTTTAATGCTAAACATGTAATTATAATTGGATCAGATATCTAATTTACAATCGGATTTGAATTTCAACAATAAATTTTAAGTGGGTATTCAATCCGCTGCCATCCCAATGCGACGTTGATAAAAAAAAAATGATAATAAAATCCATGCAAAATGCTAAAATAGGACAATATGGGTTTCCCAAGCTGTCCCCTCTTACTCATTGGGTACTACCTAACGGACACCAACCATCACGTTCGTTGATCGGTATTAGAATACTTGTGACAACCATTTGTTCACGCCTTTGTTGCTGTTTGAAATTTTAAAACAAAGCTTTTAAGATACCATGACAATTAATAATAAAAAAAGAGAGTAATTATTCTGTTATAGCGGTGTATTGTTTAATGGGATATACATAGTCAAACCACTCGCCAATTACTCCAAGTTTAGTTTTTGAAAAAAGTTTAATTGGGCTCGTTATTGATAAATTTAACAAATCAGACTTAAATTTCCTTATGAAGCTTATTCAATAAATAAACTAAATTTGAACTTACAAACAAAACAAACTCTTGTTTTTAACTATAAATTATAACAGTCAAATCTAAGCTTAATTATTAAAATTTCAAATTAAATTCAAATATACTTTTAATGAGTTGAGTTCAAACTGAACGCTCTGCTAGAATTATTTATTGTAGTATTATTTATCCTTAAATATACTTAGGGTCTCAGGAGCGGGGTCAGACTCCAAAATTAGAGGGGCTAAATGAAAGAAAAAAAATTTTTTTTTGGTATTTTAGGTAAAAATATAAAACTCTTTCAATAAAATTAGTTGTTTTGCTAGCTGTTAGTTGTTTTAGTAGCGTTTAGCTATTAGTTGTTTGAGTAATTTTTCATAAAACGCCAAAAACGGAAGGGGTAACTTTTTATAAAATAATACTTAACTTCTAAAATCTAGTTCAGACGCTATGTTACCGAATATTATAAAAAACAGTATTTTAATTAAAAATTGCTTAAAAAGCTGTTATCAAACACAACCTTAATCGATAAAAATTATCAAATTCTAATACAATTCACTTTAAAAAAATAGATAAAGTGGTATTACATCACACAAGAATTAAATTATAGAATTCAAAGATTCCATTATTACAAGAAGAAAGAGAACATTACTTTAATTATTAGCAACTTAATCAACTTAATCTAATAATTTAAGAACCTATCAATTTCGATGATTAACTTGTAATACCACAATGTTCATATTCAGAACTAATTACATCGAACATGTCACGATCATTACAACCACTCTTGCATATTCAAAAAGACCATTTCAAGTTCAACTGCTTCATTATAATTAATTTCCTTTTGGATGATCACCAAATACTCTCCCACTTTAACAGCACTACACCAAAACTAAACAAACAAAAATTGCAGAACTATGAAGATATCTTCCATTGTTTTTTCCATCTTCTTCACCGCCATCTCTTGCTTATCAATTCTTGCGAATTCGCAGACCGATTCTTGCAATTCCAATCTGAATTTGAACAGGCAACTTCCGTTCGATGTTACTTCTCTTCACTGTGCTTCTGTATGGAATACTCAAAATTTCATACTTCGAGTAAGTTCAGTTTGTTTCTTTCTTTTTCTTCTCTACCAATTCAAAATCACTTTGGACAAGTACTAGTAAGTGAATAATCCTGATCGCTGTTTGTTTTAATTACAGTATGTGCAAACATCTCCAGGTTTATGGAGCTTCGTCCTTTCTGCACCCGACACAAGTTCTTTCGTAGCAATGGGATTTTCAGTGGACGGTCTAATGGTAGGATCCAGCGCAGTTGTGGGTTGGATATCGGATACGGATGGATCCGCAAATATAAAACAGTACTTCTTAGGAGGACAAAATCCAACTCGAGTACAACCTGACAGTGGAAATCTAAATATTACATATTCCATGCTTATATCTCAATCATCGCGTCTGTACTTAGCTTTTCAGTTAAGCACCGATCAGCCATCTTCTCGGCTAATTTACTCTGTCGGACCTGTCGGTATATTACCGTCGGCACCGAGTTATCGGTTGACCGAACACCGTGACAAGGTGCCTACTGTTTTAAATTATAATACAGGTAAGAGACGACTATTCGTTTAATCTTTTGATTATTTATTTAATGGAGAATCTTAGTTTTTAGATTGGTATAACTTTTTGTTGCTGACTATGGCGAAAGCATAAAATATTAATTTAATTTTTATTTTATATAGTGATTTTTCCAAAACGCGTTGCTTGTTAGCACGCATAAATGTTGTAGAAATGATTCTATCTTTTGTTTTTTAAATTTAAAATTTCCCCTCTATTTATACATGCAACTAGCATTAATAAAAATTAACAGAGCCAACAACAAGCGCACTTTATTGGGAGGATAAAAACATATACGTTTTATGGTATGAGGGGATTAAATCTTTGATTATGCAAAAAAAAAAAAAAATTAACAGCATGAAATTCCTACCTACTTCTATTGAGGGAACTAATCCATACTAAGATATAAACATATAAGGGTGTAAACAAGTTGAGCTGAGCTCGCACCTATCAGGCTCAAAGTTCGGCTCGAAATTTGATGAGTTTGAAAATTTTAGATTTGAGCTTGATTTTCAATTCAAAAAATTTTAAACTTGAGATTAGATGTTCAAAGAAGTTCAAAATTAAATAATATATGTTATATGTGTATATAAAAGCTCAATAAGGCTCGTTAGGCTTAAATTCAAGTTCAATTTGAGTCGAATTTTATCAAGCCGAGCTCGAACAACTTATAATCCGGCTCGGCTCATATACATTCTATTCAGATAGAGATGATATTCAAATAAAATTCTTACGACATGGACAACATGAGATTTCAACCTTGATCTTACATGTAAAATTTGTCTCCGGATTTAATTCTTTTTCACTTACTAAACCATTATTATTATTAATGATTTTTTTAATCAAACTATATTGAAATTTAAGTATCATAGCATAAACTAAAATTTGAAGCATTATATTTGAATTTTTTCTGACATATTTTAAATACAATGCAACAGGTCAAACAAGCAAGGAGAGTCCACATGGTAAACTAAGAAAGAGCCACGGAATACTGAACATGGTTGGTTGGAGTATTGCAATGATAATAGGAGGAATAGTTGCTCGTTATTGCAAGGAATGGGATCCAATTTGGTTCTATGTGCATATTGGAATTCAAAGTTTGGGATTTACATTAGGCATAGCAGGAGTTATTTGTGGATTTGTCTTAGAAGATCGTCTTAATGCTCATGTTTCTACCCACAAAGGCCTTGGAATATTCGTTCTTGTTCTTGGATCCCTCCAGGTTTGTCAATATTTTTCCTGTCCAGTATTTTGTTTTTCAATTTTTCTTTTAAAAAAATACTTACCTAGACCGGTCCACGTCCCATTTATGCACTAAACTAATCAAAATATAAATTTTTAAAAGTTGTTCCTATCTTATCATTTTCTTTTTCTCGGGTGTAAGGCCAGAAATATACTTGTTTAGACAAAAACTCTTGTTTTAGTTGGGGACTATGACATTATAACTAAACATATTTTAAAAAAAAAATCATGTTTTAATAATACTTACATAATTATACACCTATTAAATAAATAATAAATAATTAGCTGTCAATATTAGTTTCTCGATAATTATTGTATATCACGGGGATACCTACCATCATTCATTAATAATCACCACCATATTTTCTATTTATTTTTCAAATGAATTACTTTTTTGCCCTTTTATTATAATGAAATATATTAGTCAGGACTTCTATTTTATAAATTAGTTTAGTAGTCACTTTAGTCGTGTTCGACGGTGGTATTTAGTGTTTTGAACTAGTTAAAATACTATTTTTCTAAATTACGGTGTTTGTTGTTAACTTGATATACATAGTAGTTTTTCAGAGGTTTACTTAATCTATAGAGTAGCTTTTAGAGGTTTATGAAGTGGTTTTTAAAACGTTATCTCACTTAACGTTTATCGTTTCACTCTTTTTACTAAAATTTTTTTAAAACATTATCTTTATCTTTAATTAATGTAAAATTCTTTTGTAATTACATTACATATTTTATTATCTTTATGTTTGGCTTATTTATATTTGATAGTAAAAGAAAAAAAACATTATTTATATATTTGTATATAAACTCAAACAAATATTAAAAATAAAAAATAATTGTAAAATTCCTTTGTTAATTACCATTACATATTTTATTATCTTTATGTTTGGCTTATTTATATTTGGGATAGTAAAAGAAAAAAAACATTATTTATATATTTGTATATAAACTCAAAACAAATATTAAAAATAAAAAATGTTTGATCCCCCTAAAATTATTTTAAAATTTTTCATTTTATTTATAAAATAGTGAACTTTTTCATTTTGGCTCCTCTAAAAAATAGTGAACTTTTCAATTTTTGCTCCTTAAAATTTGAAAATTTAGATATAGTGAAATTTTATTTATAATAAATTTAATTGAAAATTCTAGGTGTATATTTCAATGTCCTTTTTTATCATTTTAAATTAATTGCCAATTAAACAACTGTTTTTATCGAACTCTTTCGTTTTCAATCACTATTTAAATAACTAACAGCTAGCCACTAACATCCACCAGCTAAGAGCTACTAAAACAGCTAGTATTACTGAACATACTCTTTATTTTATAACTTCCTCCAACTCTTACATCTACCTCGTAGATTTTTCATTACATAGTTTTACATAGTTTTGAAATATCGATTTCACCCTTTATTATGAATAATTATTTAGTCTTTGTACTATTATATAATATTATATTAATTATATTAATAAGGGTCTACTGTTAAAATTAAATTTTAACGATCCTTATATTTTATGACCTTCTAATTGTATAATTATTTTGTTAATTTACTAATTTTTAAAATTTAAACTTGATAAAAAAGATAAAGAAAGAGAAACATGAGGAAATACCATTCAAAAAGTAATATGTTTAAACATAGAATTAAATATATTAGTTTTTTTTAACTAATTATTTTCAGTTGATTAACGGAAAAAAAAAATACACAAATTAATTATAATGGAAGGGCAATATTGTTGAACGGTAATAAGGACAACCATTAGATTAATTTTATAAAAAGAAACATCTTAAATTAATATAATGTGTTATAAGATAGGGATTAAATATTAATTCACCATCTCTCTCATATTGATACAAATTAAAAAAAAAAAATCCAACTTTTCATGTAGCTTTTAATATTTTAACTTAATTAAAATACTATTTTTATTATTTATAATGTTTGATGGCGTAGTATTATTAGAGTTTGAACATGTGGATTGCGAAAATGTGATTCCCTTTATGAAACACTTACTAAACAATTGACAGCTACTAATTAAGACAACTAACAAGAAATTTTACGGAACATGTCCTAAGAAAAAGTTACTTTGTGCAAAATATAGAAAGAGTGGTTCAAAATTTTTCAGATTATAACTGTGTTACTCATGCATGTACAGTTGATGGCAATTTTGGCTAGACCAGACAAATCATCAAAGGTGAGAAAATATTGGAACTGGTATCACCATAGTGTGGGGAGACTTCTGATGGTATTTGCAATAGCAAATGTGTTTTATGGAATCCATTTAGGTGAAGCAGGAACAAGTTGGAATGCTGGTTATGGAATTGCTCTTGCTATCTTATTTTTAATTTCTGTTATTCTAGAGTTTAGGGTGTGGAAGAGAAAATAATTATTGTTATTATTATTTCTTTTTATTAATTATATTTATCTTTAGTTATGTATTTTTTGAAATGTTGAAAATTTTTAGTATTTCAGACTTCAAGAACAGTTGGAGATGTGGACCAGAAATGTATTTAACTTTATTACTTTGTTTCCTTCTTTGATTTAAATTTTTTACCTTATATATACTTTGTTTCACTTCTTTGATTTAAATTTTACCTTATAATATATATATATATAGTTATATATATATTATTATATATATTATATATATATATAATATATATATAATAATATATATATATATATAGTATTGAGCTATATTATGGACAATGAGCTGTTTTCCAAAAAAATATATATAGTATGAGCTAATTATGGACAATGAGCTGTTTTCCAAAATTTTTAAGATTCTTATGGAAAGCATGCATAAGGTGGTTTAAGTATAACAAATTAAATTTCAACCACATCAAGCTTTGTTTAGTTGGGATTTTTCTTTTCTTTTAAGGAAGGAAAATAAATAAGAATGGAAAATATCTAAATAAATGTATTTTATTTTGTTTTGTTTGCGAAAGGGATAAAAATATTGAATTAAGTAATACTTCACTTATTTTAACCTGGCTTCACATGTTTTAAATCTTTTGGATTTGAAGAGAAAATGATAGAGAAAAATGAAAAATTCAGTTGTTTGTAATAAATTATCCAAATACCCAAAAATAAGTAGTATCACTTTTCATTGTTTAATATAAATGAAGATATAATTGTCAAATTCTAATAATAACATTTTCCTTCCTTTAAAATTTTACTCTTTCTAATTGAAGGAAAATAAAATTTTTTTTCCATTCATTTATCCAAACACAAGGGCAAAAAATAACTACAAAAAACAATTAATAATTTTTCTTTATTATTTTTTTCCTCTTTTCTCCAGACAAAGTGTAAAACTTTTAAAAATATGAATAATATATATATATATTTTTTTATAAAATATGAACTCATAAGTCATGGTTGGATTCTAAAATCTTTTAATAAAATTCTCAAGTTTTTAATCACATAAATATTCCCCTTGGGATACAATATTTTCAATTAGTAGTTTAAAAAATCAAAAATTTGAAATCCAATATCCACTTTCATTACGAATTTGTAAAATATTTATATAGGCCAACTGTGTAAATTGGCAGTTGGAACTTTATAATTAAGAACAGTTTAATAGTGCTCTAAATTTTTATTTAACTCATTCAACATTTCAACTTATATTAAATATTTTATTTTGTAAAATCATTCTACTAAATGCTCCAACTAATAAAATTAGACTGATTAAACACTTATTAATAGTTTAAAAAATATATATAAAAATCATTGTTGTAAAAGTTGTACGAATCACACATTAAATCAATATATTACATATAAAAATAAAATCCTAAAAATTATAATTTATAATGTGGAAAAATGTGCAATATTACTAAAATTTATAACTATAAAATGCACAATCAGTAATCATTGAAATTTTAAGGTGTCATTAGATTAAAATTATAAAATTAAGGAGTAAGTTTATATATTTGGCCTAGTAGAGTTAAGTTGATAAATTTTGGTGAATTGTTAAATCAGAAAGCAAATTATAAATCCAATTAATTAAGTTCACCTCTTATAAAATTATGCTAATAGAAGATAGAGTTATTGATAATGACATGCAAACTTCCTCAACAAGGTCACTATGAAAATAATATTGATATCAAGTTAGTATAGTTCCAATGATCTGGCACCAAACAAGCCTTATGCCATTCTATTGTCCCAAACAATGATTTATGAATATATGTTCATCTTAATGACCTTAGTATACCAAATAATTATACACCCCTTTGTAGGGTATCCATAATTTAATTTTTAATTTATGAACACTAGGTTTATTCTATTAAAAGAGTCATTCTTCAAGATCGTTGACATGTCCTTGGTTAGATATCTAATGAAATTACATTTCCTATTTTATCTCTACATCCAACCATTAAGAAGGATGTTCACTTTTCTAAAATGTCACATATATGTAGGCGAAAACAGATGAAGGGGTCAAATTTATACTGATGGGAGAAAAAGTAATAATATAGTTTATAATGTTATAGCAAGTATAGTAAGTAGAATCATACGAAAAGAAAAAGGAAGATAAGAAATAACTATAACGAATGTGTCAGAGGGGTATCACATGATTGATACTATATCTCTGGGGCCAGAACTTCTTATTTTAGAAGATAAATTCATCAAACTTGATCAACCATTAATGAGTAATCATAATATGGATGGATTTAGTCAGGGAGATGTCGTCTCAAAGCATGCCATCCTACATAAAAGGTAGGATGAAATTAATTACAAATCTAAGAAATTACTATTGAATTGCATTTGATCCATGCATATTCATATAAGTTTATAATATGGTTTATAATTTTACAGCGAGTATAGTAAGTAATATCATACGAAAAGAAAAATGAAGAGAAAAATAACTATAACGAATGTGTCAGAAGGATATCACGTGACTGATATTGTATCTCCGGGGCAAGAACTTCTTATTTCAGAAAGTAAATTCATCAAACTTGATCAACCATTAATCACGTGACTGATATTGTATCTCCGGGGCAAGAACTTCTTATTTCAGAAAGTAAATTCATCAAACTTGATCAACCATTAATCTTGATCAACCATTTAATGAATAATCATTAATATGGGTGGATTTTAGTCAGGGAGATTGTCGTCTCAAAATATGCATCCTACATGAAAGAGTAGGATGAAATGAATTACAAAATCTAAGAAAATTAACTACTGAATTGCATTTGATCCATGCATATTCAATCTAAGTAATAATAATTGGTATAATGTTACACAAGTATAGTAAGTAAGTAATATCATACGAAAAGAAAAAGTAAGATAAGAAATAATTATAATGAATATGTCAGAGGGATATCACATGATTGATGTTGTATCTCCAGGGCTAGAACTTCTTATTTCAGAAGGTAAATTCATCAAACTTGATGAACCATTAATGAGTAATCATAATATGGGAGGATTTAGTCAGGGAGATGTCATCACAAAGTATGCCATCCTACATGAAAGGTAGGATGAAATGAATTACAAATCTAAGAAATTACTACTGAATTGCATTTGATCCATGCATATTCATCTAAATAATAATATGATTTATAATGTTACAGCAAGTATAGTAAGTAATATCATACTAAAAGAAAAAGTAAGATAAGAAATAACTATAACGAATGTGTCAGAGGGATATCACATGATTGATGTTGTATCTCCAGGGCTAGAACTTCTTATTTCAGAAGGTAAATTTATCAAACTTGATCAACCATTAATGAGTAATCATAATATGGTTGGATTTAGTCAGGGAGATGTCGTCACAAAGTATGCCATCCTACATGAAAGGTAGGATGTAATGAATTACAAATCTAAGAAATTAATATTGAATTGCATTTGATCCATGCATATTCATCTAAGTAATAATATGGTTTACAATGTTACAGCAAGTATAGTAAGTAATATCATACGAAAAGAAAAAGTAAGATAAGAAATAACTATAATGAATGTGTCAGAGGGATATCATGTGATTGATGTTGTATCTCCAGGGCTAGAACTAACTATAATGAATGTGTCAGAGGGATATCATGTGATTGATGTTGTATCTCCAGGGCTAGAACTTCTTATTTCAGAAGGTAAATTTATCAAACTTGATCAACCATTAATGAGTAATCATAATATGGTTGGATTTAGTCAGGGAGATATCGTCACAAAGTATGCCCTCCTACATGAAAGGTGGGATGTAATTAATTACAAATCTAAGAAATTAATATTGAATTGCATTTGATCCATGCATATTCATCTAAGTGATAATATGGTTTACAATGTTACAGCAAGTATAGTAAGTAATATCATACTAAAAGAAAAGGGAAGAAAAGAAATAACTATAACGAATGTGTCAGAGATATCACGTGATTGATATTGTGTCTCCGGGGCTAGCACTTCTTATTTCAGAAGGTAAACTCATCAAAGTTGATCAACCATTAATGAGTAATCATAATATGGGTGGATTTAGTCAGGGAATCGTCTCAAAGTATGGCATCCGACATAAAAGGTAGGATGAAATGAATTATAAATCTAAGAAATTACTATTGAATTGCATTATGAAATGAATTATAAATCTAAGAAATTACTATTGAATTGCATTTGATCCATGCATATTCATCTAAGTAATAATATGATTTATAATGTTACAACAAGTATAGTAAGTAATATCATACGAAAAGAAAAAGGAAGAGAAGAAATAACTATAACGAATGTGTTAGAGGGATATCACGTGATTGATATTGTATCTCCGGGGCCAGAACTTCTTATTTCAAAAGGTAAACTCATCAAATTTGATCAATCATTAATGAGTAACCATAATATTGGTGGATTTAGTTAGGGAGATGTCATCTCAACGTATGCCATCATACATAAAAGGTAGGATGAAATGAATTTAAAATCTAAGAAATTACTATTGAATTGCATTTGATCCATTCATATTCATCTAAGTTTATAGTATGGTTTATAATGTTACAGCAAGTATAGTAAGTAAAATCATACGAAAAGAAAAAGGAAGATAAGAAATAACTATAACGAATGTGTCAGAGGGATATCACATGATTGATAATGTATCTCTAGGACTAGAACTTCTTATTTCAGAACGTAAATTCATCAAACTTGATCAATCATTAATGAGTAATCATAATATAGGTGGATTTAGTCAGAGAGATATCGTCTCAAAGTATGCCATCCTACATAAAAGGTAGGACAAAATGAATTACAAATCTAAGAAATTACTATTGAATTGCATTTGATCCATGCATATTCATCTAAGTAATAATATGGTTTATAATGTGACAGCAAGTATAGTAAGTAATATCGTATGAAAAAAAAGGTAAGATAAGAAATAACTATAACGAATGTGTCACGGGGATATCACGTGATTAATAATGTATCTCCGAGACTAGAACTTCTGATTTTAGAAGATAAATCCATCAAACTTGATCGATCATTAATGAGTAATTATAATATGGGTGGATTCAATCAGGGATTTGATCCATGCATATTCATCAAGTTGACTAAGTGTCGGACATTTGAATCACTATAGCTTTTAGCCTAACAATAAGCGTCTGATCCACAGGAACAACGATGAAAAGACAAAATAAAAAGAATAAGGCCACAAGTGAAATGAGAAGAAATGACAATGCACTCCTCATGAAATTTACATTGCTTTTCAAAAAGTTAGGATTTGGAGTAAAGGTGCTATGTCAAACCTAGATTTGTTAAAGTTTTAAGAGGATGTGTATAACCAAAATCAACAATAATGGAGGTTAAATCAAAAATTGGCCGAGTCATAATTGAAAAGTGGCTCTTAGGCTGGTGGGATTATGTAAAAGAGTTGCACATTAACTAATCACTATAGCTTTTAGCCTAACAATAAGCGTCTGATCCACAGGAACAACGATGAAAAGACAAAATAAAAAGAATAAGGCCACAAGTGAAATGAGAAGAAATGACAATGCACTCCTCATGAAATTTACATTGCTTTTCAAAAAGTTAGGATTTGGAGTAAAGGTGCTATGTCAAACCTAGATTTGTTAAAGTTTTAAGAGGATGTGTATAACCAAAATCAACAATAATGGAGGTTAAATCAAAAATTGGCCGAGTCATAATTGAAAAGTGGCTCTTAGGCTGGTGGGATTATGTAAAAGAGTTGCACATTAACTAATCACTATAGCTTTTAGCCTAACAATAAGCATTTGATCCACCAGGAATGATCATAGAAAGACAAAATAAAAAGAATAAGGCTACAAGTGAAACGAGAAGAGATGATAAGGCACTCTTGTGAAATTTACATAGCTTTTCAAAAGGATTTAGAGTGAGGATGCTATGTCAGCCCTGGATTTGGTAGAGTTTTACGAGGATGTGTATAACTAAAATCAACAATGATTGAGGTTAAATCAAAATCAATAATAAATGGAGCAGTAGTTTGGAGGCATTTAATAGGAAGTCTGGAGGCAGAAGAGGAAGAAGAAGGGGGGAGGGTGTATAAGGAAAGAGTAGTACCAATTAAAAGAGTAGAGGTGAATTGAATAAAAGGTTAGAACTCATAAGATGAAAATGTATGATGTGGGCTTATTTGGGCGTTTGGCCAACTAATGTTAAAAGGTTAATACTAATCAATTAGCTAACTAGTTTGTCCACTTTATATGTGCTTTGTGGATTGAGTATTTAATCGATGTGAGATTTTTAACAAAAAGCACTATATAGCTCATCTAGCTTACAAATGGCAAACTTTGGCATAAGAATGAGCCTATTTAAAGTGGACGTGATTGATCAAAGTGACGTTGATTCCGCAATGAGTGGGACCCACTAATGGTAATGTCATTGCTTTACTAACGGATTCAGATATCAATATCACAATTGATATGAAAAAAATAACCTTGGCTATCGATTGATAAAATTTTAAAAATTAGCCAAAATTGACAAAAAAAAAAAAAGTAAAAATTTGGTTAGTATTTTAAGGATCCATTTGATTTAACTATTTATATTAGTTGATAATTGATAATTGATAGCGGATAGCAATTAATTGATGAATGATGGTATTAGTAAAATTTTGATAGCAGTTATTATTAAAATGTAAAATAACCTAAAGATATCATTTTTTTTTCTACATATTATGATTACATATTTAGAATTTTTAAGGTAATAATTTTTTATTTTAAATGTCTGATATAAATAAAAAATGTTAATAAAAATTTGAAAATAATATTTGGTAAAAAATAATTATTATTTTTAAATAGTTATAAATAAAATGTCCATAAAAAATATTAATTGGATTCAACAATTATTTTTATGAGGTTAATAAAATAAAATAATAATATAAATACAAATCAATTACCAAATAATGTGAAAATAAAATACTTCAAAATTAACTGATGGAGTCAACAACTAATTGAGCTTCTATGAGCTATCAATTACTTATGGAAAAGCTCACCTCATATCTACAACTTAATTATTGGATACTAATCAACTATCAGCTGTATGAATGAATTAATTGAATCAAATGTTTTCTAAATATGGTTAGCGGAAAAATTAAATATATTACTTTACTTGCATTGCTACAAAAAGAAAAACCAGCTGGCATATGAGAAATAAATCTCTTGTAAAAATTGAGTTTTTTTCAATAATAACAACAACAAAAACAATAATAATAATAATAATAATATATACCCCTGTGAGTTATTTACATGTGGCCTTTGCGTTAATATTTACCCATTTCTCGGTTTTTTAGTAATTATGTGTTATTGTTTATCTCTTTTTCTTATTTGACAGATGAATTTTACGCTATATAATCTGTGTGTTTGGCCTAAAAATTTATATCAACTTCACCATCTTCATTGCTTCTGTATGTAGGAATATGATTCTTCCTTCCTTTCTTTCTTTCTTTCTAGCTTTTTCATACTTTTTAAAATTAAATGTAACTACATACACATTATATATATTTTTCCTCAATTAATTTTTCTGTTGTTCTTCCTTTCTTTTTTTTTTTTCTTTTTCTTATTTGAAAATTATGATTCCATCTTCATTAATTTGCATATATAATAATTAAATTATTATTGTTATTATTTGGAAAACACAGATGCAACTAAGTCATGCCAGAAATATATATTGTCATAGTATTTAACTATTTCATTATATGTTTTATGTCTAAAGGTAATAACAGTTTGATAATTGTTCGTAATTATCTATCTTTCCTTTTATAAATTCTGCTTGAGCTAAACTATTGTTTTGGCATTCTTTATTATGTTTCTTTACTTGGTATTTATAATTAATTTGCCTCTAATGGAATTTCAACTATATATAATCCCTCATTTTATTTAATTTTATATCTTTAAAATAATAAACCTTTGTGCAGAAAATTTTCAATTCTTCATGTGTGTTTGTAGAAACCTATGATGGAGGAGAAGCAGAAAGCAAGCTACAGAGTAGAAGAAGAAGAAGAAGATGATGATGATGCTGATTCAATTCTTCAACTTTTGATGGATTATGAACCAACATTAAACAACCATGCAGAAAGCAAGCTAATTACTAGTGATGAAATATTTGTGCTTCCAGATCATAAGAATAAAGAATCAGAAGCGTCATCCTCCTCCTCCTCCCATTTTCCATCAAAAGGAAAAAATAATTTAGATATGGATCATGAAATATTGGAGAAGTGTGACGAAGATGATTTCTTTTCCAAATTCTTGAACATAACTGATAATAATAATGATATTAATGTTTCATCTGGTATTGATAATAACCCACCATCATCAAATGTGGTAGAAGTTGATGATGATCATGTGACCTCCATGGCAATTCCACCAGAAACTGTTGTGCAGCCACCACAACTGCCATCAGGCGCCATCACAACTAGGCCAAGAGGAATCAGGAAGGCCATATCTCCTGAAACGCTTGCAGAGCTTTCCATTATTGATCCAAAGAAGGCAAAGAGGTAGATATGCACAATTCTATTTCTAGTGTTACATATAATAGATATAATACTTCTATGGTTTTTCTTAGTTCATCGATAATATTTTAGAATTTCTTGTAGATGTTTCTAAGGTGATATTGAGCAATAGCATTCGGTGGCAATAGCGGTATTTAAAATTAAAAAGAGCGGATTATAAAAAGTTACTCAAATTAAAGTTTGATGAAACGTAAGTAAAATAGTTAACGACTAGTAGGAGTGACCATAGTTTCGGAACTGCCGGTTATTTCAAAACCGATGGTTTTGGTTTCAAATAATGTGGAACTAGAACTGAAACTGAAACTGAGGGTTTCGGTTTCTTAATGGTTCCAAAACCGACAGTTTTGGACAGTTCTCCAACCTGTTTTTCAAGGGGTTTACATAATTTTAAAACAAAAAAAAAATTAACTTATACAAATACCCTTAACATAACTAAATCTTATACCCCATTTATAGTTGTTAGGAGCGTTATTTTGGAGATTTTAATGAAAAATTTTGAAAAGATAAAAAAAATGTGTTGGAACCGCCAGTTCTAATCAGTTGTTAAAATCTTTGGTTCTGGTCGGTTCATGGTTTTCAAAAACTTAGAATCGGAACTGAACCGCAACTTTCCAGTTACAGTTCCGGTTCCGATTCCAATCAATTTCGAACCATGATTCTGGTTCAAAAAACCGGAATATCGCACCCCTAATGACTAATAGAATAATTAAGAGCTATTAAAATAATTAATTTTACCGGGGTAAAAAAAATTAGCGACATAAATACATATGATTACTTGTCAAGATTGATTGGTTGATTGATCGATGATATGTATATAGTTTATTTACGAGATACCTTTCACCCTTTAGTTACCTTCTCATATAAAATGAGAAGAGCAATCAGATCACAAATGATCGGCAGTTTAGTTATCTACTTTGGCTTTCAACATTTAATTATAACCACTTTTCTAATGTATTCTAATTAGTCATCTTTGAGCATTCTCTAATAAACAAAAGTTAGTAACCTCCACCCTCAAGGGGTGAGCTAAGATGGCAAGGATCCTTTCTCACTTAATAGAGAGTTCAAGATTTGAGTATAGAGTCCCTTTAACTACTAGAGAAGGAGCGCTTCCCCCAGTTTGCAGGACCATCCGGAGTGAATCCGGATTAGTCGGGCTAGTGAACTTGGCGCACCTCCTAGAATTTCTGCTAGCCTATATTTATTTATTATGTTGAAAATACCTATTATTATAAATGGTGAATTTCACTCTTGTAGTCATTATATAGTAATCAGAAGTGTTATAAACAAAAATAAACAAAGAAAATTAAGTATTGGAATGAAAATTTTGTAATTATTTAGGGTTTTAGATATGAAAATTACTAATAGCTGATATTCTATTTATGTAAAACATATGAACTGCTTTTTTTTTTGTTTTTTTTGGGATAATGTATAACATTTTTATTAAATACAAATGCATACTAATTAAATCAATTTTCCATTTGCTACAGAATAATCACAAACCGAATGTCTGCTGTGAGGGCAAAGGAGAAGAAGAAGCTTTATACATGCATGCTTGAACATAAATTACAAAACTTAAGATCTGAATCAGCTACATTAAACGCTCATTTGTCTTTATTGCAGGTAAATTTACATGTTATATATATCAATCTCGCAATAATAGCTTATAAAAAATTTTATTTTATGTTTAAGCAGACAGAAGGCTTAAGCTTGAATGCTGAAAATGTCAGACTGAGAGAACAGACAGGCATGACTTTGCAACAAATTCACTTACAAGACTGTAAGGATTTTCTTTTCTTAATTTTTATTGTGTACTTATGTTTATGTTTGGCAATTTCTTTTTTTTAAAAAAATATAGATAAATGCAATCATATATATATTCTCTGAAGCAATATTTTTGTGCTATATTAACAGCATTGAATGATGAAATAAGAAATGAGATCCAACATTTGAAAACGTTGACACAAATTACTTCAAACCATGGAATCATGTTGAACAACACTGGAAATAATCATGCACACAACAACCTTGCAATGGATGCACCAACAGGCACAGAACAAGTTGGCCAACTCCAAGTTCAAAATGTAGATCAGCAACTTGAACAATTTCAACAGGGACCAGTACATGTGAATGCTGGGCAACAATCTCCATGGCAAGTTCAATATGATCAGGAGGTGAATCCACAGTATCATCTTCAACAAGAAGAAAATCCACCATATATTGAGGATCCTAACATTACTAATCCTCTGCCTTACCTGCAAGGTGAAGAAGACAATGATCATTAATAGTATCTTTTGGGGATTGGTAGGCCTTTTGAAGCATTTCTAGTATCGTGTTGTTTTGAATAAGTTCTCTAGTCGGAGAAGTAAGTTGAGCTTTGTGTTTGGGATTTTGATACTTTGATTGGAATTTTAATAATTACAGCATTCAGTTTGGTTAATAATTATTATTATTAAATGTTGAATTTCTTCAAATGGGAAGTAGTTTTTTCTATTTATAGATTAATTTTAATAGCAAAACACAAGGTCGAGATTCGATCTGTGAAAAGGACACTTATGGAGTGGGTAAACATAAATCCTGAAACAAGAATAGTCTCGTACTTGAAGGATATAGGAAGACTTATGGTAACAAAAAAATAAAGTTTTGACTTTACGGATTTACTTGTTTCAAAAAAAAAAAAAATATAAATATAAAAGTTTTATTAGCAGATCATCTGAAATAGATGACATCCTTCGATGGGAGTAGATTCTCGTAAAATATACAAACAATAGTTTTAGGCTTTTATCAATAAAATGAACATATGGTCTGATGCTAAAGTGGATTATAAATGGTAATGCGGTTGAATGTGTATTTATATATATTGAATTTTAAAAATTTATTTCTAATTCACTATATTCAGATTCTCTTGTATCTTTTTTTTTTTTTTTCTTTTCTGGATCCATAATTTAACATACAACACTATAAAGCAATAAATGTCCATATTGTCTAACTCAACGTTTAAAAATAAAAGGTATGATTGCTAACGTGTATTTTATTTATTTTACACATCAGTTTAACGTGACAAATAGAAATTATTATTAAAGAGTATTTTTAAAAAAAAAAATTTTCATTTTTCTGATATGACAATTAAATAATACCAAGAAACTTATGCTTGGATTGAATGGTTGGAAGGTCTGAAGACATGCAGGATTTTTTATAGTTGTTTGATGGGTGAAAAAACCTCAAAGCCTTCCATTTTTTAACCCATCATGTTTGGAAGGGTGAAAGTTTTGGTTTTCATATTATCCATATTTTACTTGTTAAAAACATCAAATTGCTGTTTTTACATTTTTCCAATGAAAGTTTTTCTTTTGATTCCCTCCATAATTTAATTTAATAATATCTTTATATATATTAAAAATTCATTATAATAAAAAAAACCCACATATAAATTAAGAATTCATTATAATACTTTTTCTGATATTAAACTTTCCATGTCCAAACTTCCAATTTTGGTAATTTTATTTGTAAATGGATATGGATACCTAAAATTAAAATCAGATATCATGCAATCCTAATCTATGGTTGATTACAGTGTTTGGGGAGGAAGAATTGGAAAGAACAGAAATGAGAGAGACTGAGAATGGTGAGAGAGAAGAACTAATGGATGGGAGAATGTCAAAATTGATATTTTTTGCTAAATATTCAATTTTACAACTCATTTTACATGCTATCTTTTGCAGGCCTGCCACATAATAGCCACGTCAGATACAAGTCAACAAAATTTGCCAAATCAGCAACACAACTAGCTGGTGACGTGGAAAACTTACAGATTAATACCCCAAAATTTCCAAACAATTGCAATTACACTTTATTCATATTTTCTGTATTATAACCCTAATAGTATCGTGGATACCTATAAGCTTAAGCTCAAACTTGATCTAAATGGTAGATAATAAATTTAATATATAAAGACGTCCCAAACACATTTAATTAGTATCTAAATTTGCTTTAAATGAGTTATTACAATTTTTTTTTCAAATTTTAAATAATTATTGATGATGTATAAAATAATAATATAGACAAAAAAATGAAAATTAGATAAAAACTTTAATGAACTCAAGCTCGGCTCTATAAGAATATACGAGCTTGAGCTCATTTCAAACTTGGAAATATGAGCTCGAGCTCAATTTGTTTAAAAATAGTCAAGCTCAAGCTCGACTTGAACTTGTTTCGATAACCATAAATAAGCCGAGCTCAGGCTCGAAATATATTAATTAAAACGACGTTGTTTAATGTAGATTTTAATTTATTTTAGCTTATTGAACTAGTTCATAACCTAGACTCGACTTGATAAGACTAACTCGTGAACTAGCTTGAGAGCTTCGCTCGATAAACTCTTGAGCTGATGATCCAAGCTCGATCGGCTCATTTATTAAACAAGCTCAATAGCTCGACTCGAACTCAGCTTGATAATTTATCGAACCAACTCAAGTGAGCTTTTACAGAATCGAGTCTCGAGCAACGTGCCTAGTTTACGGTACAAGCAATCAGTGACATTACGCACTATTGTGCACGCAAAAATTTTCTTCCCGCATTTTGAAAGAAAAGTTCACTCGTTGTTCAGAAACCAAAAAAATAAGGGAAGGCGTCGCTGGTCGCTCTCTCTCTCTCTCTCTCTCTCTCTCTCTATCTCTGGTGGAAATCAGAAATGATTCGTACTCGGTTGCTTTGGTTCACAGTAGGTTTCTCTGTAACATCAGCTGCAATTGGCCAGTTCGTTTGGCGAGACCTTTTGTCTGAGCGGCATGCCCTTACTTCTCGAGTAAGACGATTCTTCTTCTCCGATTTATTAATTTCTACTACCGTTTCCTTTCTCTTTCTCTCTGTCTCAACTAATTGGCTTCCCCTTTTAATAGACTAAGCAGACATTCGATGCCCTTGAAGCTAGAGTCTTGAATCTCGAGTCTATCTCTCACCATAACTCGAATCCTGCCCAGGTCGATTTCTCTGTATTTCAACTTGTTTTCTCTCCGGTTTTTAAAAATTTGAAAAATTGGAGAAGATTTTGACATAATTTGGTATTTTTGTAGTCTTATAACTTTGTTATGTTCATATATTTTTGTTTGTATGCTGGAGTCGGGAATTGGGGTAACATGTAGGATTTTAGTTATTTGAAGATGGTTTTGAGCTAGAGAAGGGAAAGTTTTAGCAGAAAAGCAATTACAAGGCAGTAATCCCGATTTCTGATCTAATTAGATAAAATGAGTTGCTTTTTCAGTGGAATGGTCCTCAGAATGGAGAAATCAATCCTCTTTGTCAGTGACAAAGTTACCAACAGCTTAATGGGAACGGGTTAAGAGTGTATACTATAAATAAGAATTGGTTTTAGTTAAGAGTGTTGACGATGTTACTTGTGCAAGTATGACAAGTAATACTTCAATTAAAGGTTGATGTTTTGAGACTCTTCCAGCCAGTTTGAGTTTCCTTTTGCAGTGATAGTTTTCCTAGACATGGTTTTGTTTTGCATTCCCAATAATCCCATGCATCTAATTGTGATATATGCATATGTGGGAACACTTAAACTGGGATAACTAGAAAGAGGTGGGGGTGCAATCGAAGGAACCACATTAATCCCCAAGTTGCCAACTGGTCAAACTTGGGTACCATGTCCGTTAACAAGTTTTGGTCACCTCAGTTAGAATTCATATAAAAGGATCAGGATATGTTGAGTGGTATGACAATTCACTTGATATTTATGACAGCGTTTTATCTCACTTAGTAGAAAGTTAAAGTTGCTTTGGGTTGTGGGAAGGCTCAACTCAGCTCAAGCATGCAACATTTGTTACCTGTTACCATTTGCAATAACTATACCTATCATATGCATACAATGCATATAAATACAATTTATATTTCTTAGCATTTTCCTTTTTTAGAATCTGTTCTATGTGGTGTCAATCCCAGTCAACAATTATATAATATAGTTATCCTAATTAACATTGATCAAGTAACAATAAGTTGACTATTTGAGGTTGAAAACTAGCAGAGGCTATGATTGAAAGTGAATTATTGGTCAGGTCTAGTTTATGAGTCAATACTCTGATTAAGTGAGTGGATTTCCACATGTTGCTGGTGCCAGAAAAAGCTATGAAAGTTCTTCATTTGAATGCAAAAAATTGAAAAATTATCTGGATTTCAAATACTATGAAGTTTATATCTTTTTGGTGATTAAATTGTACGAATGAGCAAGTGGACAAAAACACTTATTTCTTAAATATTACTTCCTCGCAATGTCATCAAGTACTTCAATTCGATACCAGTTTAAATTTTTGCCTCTGTTTCTCTCTTTTGTCTTAGTTCCAATAAACAGAGAATTGTAAAATAGTGATATATACTTTAAAAAGGTCAAGATGATGTATTCATGTGTGCATCAAGAAAGAGTTTGGAAGGGTGTAGTGTCGGTTGTTTGTTTATTTATTCTCGTTCTGGTAACCTGAGGGAGGAATATTAAGTTTGAACCCGAAATTTCCTCTTGCATTATAAAACAGAAACTTCACTGAGTTCCCATTTTTTGTTGCGATTGGGATGCTTTTGGCATATTACTTTTTCCAATGTTAAGGCTTATGGAAATGCGGATTCTGAAAAAAGCTAGGTCTGGAGTTTTAGGTGGCTAAAAAATTTTTCAAAATATGTGAAACAATTAGGAATTCTTCAATTATGTGATGATTTTGCACATCAATTTTGAACAACGTGTTTACTGATTTTCATTTTACTCTCTTTGGCAGATTGATGGTTAGATCATACGTGGATCTGAAATGGGTTGCGACACCTAATGGATTGCTTTGCTGATAAGAGGCATTTGAGTTTTTATCAAAAAATTGGGGGCAATGTTTATGATTATGACATATCCTCATTGCAATCAACTTTGAAATTCTGAAAGCCCCTTCTTTAGTTTCCTTTTTTAATGCATTGGAGAAAAACATGTAGTTCTATTGATTTTACTTCTTCAAGGGGCATATGTAGCCCCAAAGTGTGACTGCAGCTTGATCCAAATTCAGCTTCATTCTCTTAAAACCTGAGATGAAACAAGTTATTGCTCCATTGAATTGCATTTGGAAGTGAATAATCTTATCATTTGTTCTTTGAGTTGTTAATTTTTACAGGAAATTCACCAACTATTTATTATTTTCCTTTGACAAACAAAGCCTACATTTACTACAACTGATTTCCTAAAAATAATACCCCAACCAATACAGATTAAATTGAATGTTAATAAATAACCAACACGCCTCCCTCTCGGATGATTTTTTAAAATGTATTTCCAAATCTACAAAAGAACTCGAATCAAGTGTGTAGCTTATTTGATCAGATTCAGCCGAGAGATCCCAACTTGTTGGCAAAGGTCAGAGACTTGATCAATCAGCAAACACATAATGTCATGATTTCATGTGATGAGATGATGGGGGAAGGATGGAGTTGGCAAGCTCTTCATTCACCTTCACTGGAAGCGGAGGCATCTGCTTCATTATCTCCGGCATGTCATTCAAGCTGCAGAACCTATTCAAATTAGAATCGAGAATTGGATTCTGTGTAATAATATATCAGTTATATTGTTGCTGACTGGCATTGCAGGATAGAACTGCAAATAAGGCAAGGACATACATACATATATTCATATAAACACAATTAAGAAAATAGTTGACCATTGGCGAAACACATTAGTCGGTATGTGTCGGATAATACTGAATGATCAGGATGTAAGTGCGCAATAAATGAAGATACGCCACTAATGAAATGTCTATTAAAAAAATAATCAAAGCATAGAGCATAGAGATGTGTAACATACTCGTTCAAGATAGAGAGGATGTTGTCTCGAGTTTTGCTTAAAAGATTGATGTTATCATGTATCTGCAAGAAACAAAAATGAAAATATGTTGGCATAGCTTAACCATTATGAATCCAGTGTCTTACATAATGATATGACTACTGTTTCTAAACAAGACAGAGAAATCAAAAGTCCATATGGCAAATTGGCAAAAATCAATATTAGTAAATAATGGTGATTAGCTACATCAACAATAAATTGGCTGTAGAAAGTCCAAACACCAATGTTTAATTGATCAGGCCAACAACAAAACAGGGCTGTCAAAATGACTCCATCCTTAGCTTTTATGACCAGCATCATTTGTTGTATTGCAGATATGAAAATTAGAAGAATTGGGTGCCATAAAAGTTGAAATTTGTTGCATAATTAACAGAATCTGAACACTCGACCTGTAGTGAAATACAAACAACTTCGACATGAATAGAAACGAAATCCTCCCAAAATTCAATGGAACAATTGTCAAAAAAAAAAAAGGTTTTGAAAAAAATATTTTGAATAGATTTAAACCCAGGCAACCCAGGCAGGAAAAAATATTTCTATGAAATGCTTCATTGTCATGTTAACAAAGATCATATAAATATTTGTGCCCCTCAGTAGAAAAACTCTGGTTGTATAGTGCATAAGCAAGAAAAATATCAAAAATAAATAAATAAACAAAACAAGAAACAGAGAAAAGGGTTTTTTTTTTTTTGTTTTTTTTTTTCTATATAAACACAGATTAGAGTAACTAATAGGTGACCATTGGGCGAAACACTAATTAAGCTCCAGTTGTGGTATGTGTCTGATAAATACTGAATGATCAGGAGTAAGTGCTGCAATTTAATTATGTGAAGATACGCCTACTAATGAGAATCGTCTATTAATAAAAAATATATCTAATGCATAGCACGCATAGTGTTTACACTATAACTAAGTTTCAAGATAAGAGATGTCTGTCTCGAAGTTTGGCCTTAAAAGATTGATGTGATCATTCATCGCAAGGAACAAAAAATGAAATATATATGTTGGCATAGCATTAAACATTATGATCAGTGTTCTTATCATTAATGGATAGTGATTACTTGTTTCTAAACAAGACATGAAGGAAATCATAAAGTCGCTATGTCGCCATCAATTTGCAGAAAATCAATATTAGTTAAATTAGTGGTGATTTAGGCTCTTATCAACATAATGATTGCTTGCTAGAAAGTCCACAACGATCTCTATGATGTTACTTGTGATTCAGTCCAATCATCACTAATAACAGGCTCGTCAAATGTACTCCCATTGCCTTAAACTTTAGAGCCATGCATAATCTCTCTTGCTTATTGCATTAATGAAAATTTTTAGAATAATTGTGTATAGGTCGCATAAAATGTGAAATTTGGTTGTGCATAATTATAACAGAATGTCTGAACACTCGACCTTATGTGAAAAGTTACAAAACAACTGTGGTTCGACTGTAATGGAAAATAGAAACTAAATCCATCCCAAAATTCAATAAGACAAATTGTCAAACTTGAAGAAAAAAAAAGTTTGTTGGAAAAAAATGATTATTTTTGAATAGCAATAATTCAAACCCAAGGAAACCCAAGGCAAGGAAAAAACTATTTCTATTGAAATGCTTCACTTGTTACAGTTTTAGATCAAAAGATTCATATAAAATTTGGCCCTCAGTTTTAGAGAAAAAACTGCTTGGTCTTATTAGTGCATAAGCTACTTTGAAAATCATCAAAAATTAAGAATATAATATAAAAATACAACACAAGGACTCAGTAGTAAGTATAGGTTGTGTTGTCTTTATTTTTTTTGTGTTTGTTATATTCTTTGTGTCGAATGTGTGTGGGGGGGGGAGGGTGTAGGGGACACTAACTTGCGTTATTAATAGAGTTTCCATTGCAACAATATGGATCAATTTAAAACATCACATAACATCTTCGTGATATCATAAACTCAGATTCAGAGCCAATCAAGACTCAGTTATCAATAAAACACACTACATCACATTTATAACATTGATTTTCACCTGTAAAATAGATTGCATCAAATTTCTGTTAAAGTGTCTTGGACTCAATAATTTGTAGTCATATGACTCCAGAAGCTACTGCCAGTTGCACGCCAGTATGGCTATAATAGCACATCAGATGTAAAGTGGTTAATACAACAAGATTAATTGATTTGTAAAAGAAGAAAAAACAGATGTATGTTGTTTACTATTGAATGTGCCAAATCAATCAGACAGCATATATCACATAAGTAGGCTTCAGTAAATTAATGATTATATTAAATGAAAAAAGAAAAGAAACAAATAGAAGCATACTCAGATGCACAAATTTGATTAATGTTGTGTTAGATACTACCAAATGGAACCTGTTTAAATTACAAAAATCATACAAGCATAGTAGAAACCTGCTAGAGAATTCCAAAACAATTAATCAACCTATTAAAAGCTTAATAAGATTCTGTTGATTGAAACCAATCCGAATTATATCATGGAAAAAGTACAGGTTCATGTTTTCCCGAGTCCTGTAGATAGTTGCATCAGTAAAAATAATACCACTCAGAGGTGGGTAAGTACTTGCTGAAGTTGATCTCCAATCAATCATAATACCGAACATCATCGGCAATGAAGATTGCAAGAAGTAATCATTATTAGTATTTCCCATAACTTCTTGCATTTAGTAATTTAGCGGCGTTGTGATTATTCAAAAGATGTTGCTTGATTAGTATCATGCAGTGGCTTATGAATGTCGAGTTCTTACTTGTCACAGGTTCTATCAAACCATTAGCCAATGAATAGATATGAGAGGGATGTAAGGGCGGTTCCAAATGACCACTTAAAAACATAATTATGAAGATGCATGTAACTAAGTTGTTGTCTCTGTGTTATGTTTATATGCAGAAATCTCACAGTAGCTAAGCGTCAGGAAATATCTATCAACAAAAACTTTTAGAATTCTACGATTTCCATCTCTGAAACTTCTGCGATTCTGTAAGCAATATGCATAGCTTCTCCGACTTTGGTCGAAGAATATATTCCTAATTGGATTGCTTCCTCGAAGGAAGACATATCGGTGTAACCAAACATCAGGCCTTACATACAATGAGCTGGCTCCTTAATTTGTAGCTTTGTCGCACGTATGGTGAATAAGGTCCATTTGCAGAATTTTGCAAATTGAAATTCTAAGAAGTAAACATCATGCACATTAGTCGTCTAACTTTTCCTCCTCCAGTGTTGCTAATACTAAGGATAATACACGAACCTTGAAATGACAATGCATCACTACAATCACTACCACTAGAAACGTCGAAATCATGCTGAGAGCAATAATGTAGAGAGAACATTGGGGCGAGTCACAATAGAGGATGATGGACCTTCGCTGTAAAGCAATCAGTTGCAGTTTTTCCTTGGGACATTGAGTTTCATATCTACCTTAAACTTTTGCATATAGATGGTCAGTTATACATAGAAAAAAAAAGAGACGTGAGAGATAAATAAATTAAATTGGTCAAATGAATGTGTACTTCTTATCTCTCTAGTCGCTAGCATACGGTGGAAAGACAACAGAAGCATTCTCCTTAAAGAAGAATGATGCCAATTGCAATCACGCACCCTTAAGCCAAAGAAAGGTTAGATTGGAAATCTTTTTCGACAATATAGAAGTGACTTCTTTTTAGAGACCAACTGACCATAGGCATCTTTAATGAATGATTATGAGTTATACCAAATCATCACATTAAGTCCTTTTGTAGGTTATTATCAACCATCGTCCCATTCAGAGTGCCAAGGGTCACATATTGCCGCAACAGTTCAAGCTTATCGATATCCATATTCTACGGTTCTGTATGATATCGTGGTAATCCATTGTTCAGGAGAGATTTTACTTCTAGCAAAGAGACGATAGTCATATATACAAGTATACCTTTAAAAACACTTACCGCTACATCCATGTTCATCACCAAGGATGATTATTATAGGTATAGACATATATTAATATCTCTTTTATTCTTGACTTTTAGAAAAAGTTAGAATAAAAGATCATCTTGTGACTATAGGGCATTTTGCAATATTGTTACAGCGCTATTATTGTGTATAAAATTTTGAAAATTTTGCACCCGCAAAACCATGACTGTCCAATTTATTATACATGTCAGATTGCCTAAGAGACTAAAATTACATAATCATATTAATATGATTTACTTGCATAGATCATACCTTTCTGTCCTTATTTTTCCTAGCAGAATGGATCCTCCTCTCCTATCGCTTACCATTATACTGTTTTTCTGAAGATAGAAAATTATTAGTCAAGGTTTAGAACTTTTTCAAATATGATGAATAATTTGAGGTAGCTATGTATGCTAACATTATATGCGCGATCCTCCATGTACATTGCTGCAACCGTATACTTGGAATTCTGGAATATTGGGGGTGGTATATTATGTTTGGGTAGTGTACAGGCATTGTTCAGTTACCCCATTTTAAATAGTCTTTAATTATTGTGTTACTACAATCAAAATTTAGCAAGAGATAGTTATACAGAAATTAACGAAAAAGGGTGAACAGTTAATTTAGGAATGAGACCTTCAAGAGAAAAGGTTCAGAACAAACATTTGTTTACTACGTAAGGGGAAACATCTTATCAATGCATGTCAAATTTCACCAAAATCCCATCTCATAAACATACATTGCCTTGGTCAAGAGATCAGGGTGGATAATAACCTGCCAATATGGTTATTAGACATCGTTGTATCGCTTTTTTCGCTAATTAGTATATCTGGATTTATGACCTATTGTAATGCCGAATTTCTGGGAGTGGGGGATCTCAACATTATGTTGCACTTTCATTCGATTATTTGAAGAATAGCAGAACAATTTGTGCAGCGTGGGTTATTAAATTAGCAGCCGGCCTCTACCCTCTCGGTATCATAACATCTTGCATTCTCCGCAGTAGAACATGTTTAAACTTTCAATCTAAACAGATGTTGTATCGAATGAGTAGATATATATGAATGTTGGATCATCATTACTTGCAATAAATTGGGATAAAGTAGCACAATTGCTATCTGGGTTGTGTCTCTGGTAGTGACAACATAAGCTTAAGGGCAAGTGTTTTTATCAACTGCAATTCGACCAGCCTATGATCTGATGATATGACTAAATTGATTAAAGTGGAAGTAAAGGAAAATCTCCACCATAAGATTTAATTTCTTAAATTAGAAGCTTCTGAGGATCTTAAGATACGAGTGGGATTTGTGCTAGACGAGGTTAGATAAGATTCAAAATGAACGTTGTTTTCATAAAGGTAAGGATCAGTGGCAGTATTTAAATGGGTTGTCATTAGGTGTAAAAATTCAGAGATGTGAAAAGAAAGTTTAAAGTGTTTTAGCCATAGCAAAGTCTCTCCATTAAAGTTAAGATGAAAATTAGAATGTGATAGTTTACAAGACCCAAGATTGATCATAAAAAGATAGTGATTAAGAGAAGATCCATATTATGCTACGATCTGTCATAAGAACTATACATCAAAACTGATGGACAGAGAAAGAACGCCTAGGAGATCCGGTCCAAAGTTGGGATTTAGGGCTTTTGATTTGTTGTGGTGCTGTGTTTATGATTTACAGTTTTCCTGCATAGGCTGGTAAAAAAATTTAATATTGTATTTAAGCCTTTGAAATGGTTATTCTCAGGAATAAGTCTTTGTGTACTTTTTTGCGGCC